CGAGTGGAAGGGGGCTGGCGGCAACTGCTGGGAAGCTGCACTGCCAGGGTGCACGCATGCAGCGCGCTGCAAAGGTAAGCTGGCTGCCAGGGTCGGCGACAAGGGTCTGCGAGCAGCGAGGTAATTAAGTGCAGGGGCGTAGGCACCCATGGGACCGCGAAAGTACCAGGGTGGCCGAAACCAAGGGAACCGACTGCCAAAAGCCGAATTGTGTGCCCAGTGTGGGTGTGAGCATCAGCGAGCTGCGGAGTACCAGGGTGGCCGAAGCCAGGTGGTCCAACAACATCGGATCGCAAGAATGCGAGTGAATTGAGCATTCGAAGCTGCAGCGCGGCCGACACAGAGAAACTCAAGAAGCGACCCGAGGCCTGGCGGGTGCAAGGGGTGGCGCCAGCGAAGTCGTGCACCAGAAGCCCCACAAGGGGGGAGAAGCGTGATCCGCAGTCAACACACCAGGGGTGGCGACAGACGTACACGGACATCGCGGGGTGAACGCCGGCACTGGAGCCGAGGTCGCGGCCGCGGCGCGGTGGAGCCACGGGCTGATGGGGTTACTTTTTCCTCGCGGGCGCAAGCGAAAGCGCAGGCGCCGTGGTGAACGGTCCGGGCCACGGGCCGATCAAATTACACGCGCGGGCGAGGCGGCCTAAGCGGGCGGCAGCCTAAGCGGCCAGCACAGACGGCGTGAGGGGAGGTGCTACGCGTGAGCCTACTTGCACAGCGACCGAGCGCGGGATCAGAACCTACCGCCGGGGAGGCAGCTGGCTGAGGCTGAGCTGGCTGAGCTGACTGCAAACGGCCAGGGTAGCTGCTGCACACGTGCGAGACCCAGAAAGGCAACCGGGTGAATTGGATCCTGCACGCCAGGACACGTCATGACCTGTTCTGTATCTACAGACCAAACGTCCGCCCAGCGAGGCTGTGCCACCAGACGGTCAGATCCGGGAAGGCGGCGCGCAATCAGGTAAACAGAGCCAGAGAGGTGCTAGCACACTCGGACCCGAAGTGGGTACCGTGGGAGGAAATCAGCAGATGGGGCTACGCAAAGCGTCTAGAATTGGATTGTGCTCTGTTGCGTTGTAATTCTAATCGCCGTTGACATCCGAGTCCTGACCGTACTGATCTGGATCTTAAGCTTTTCCCATCCGCGTGAGCGCCCAACCATAAATGTTTTCGGGTCATAACTCGCGGCTCTCCGGCAGCCGTTTGGATGATCCGCGCACTCCGGGAACGCTCTCGGCGAGGCGCAGCTGCTGCAATGCATCCCTAGGCTGGAAAAACGTCGAGAACCGACGACAATTCAGATCGAAGGCGTCCACCCTTCCCCCCCCCCCTTCGCCCCCTCCCACTTCGCCCCCTCCCAAGGAGCAGGACGAGGGTCTGCGCTTAGAGGTCTCCCAGATTGGGTTCGAGTGGATGGGGTCGGAGGGTCGCGCCGCATCGCCGATGCATCGGCGATGCGTGGGCGACCCTGCGACCCCATCTGCTCGAGCCCCGTCCGGGAGGCCCGTTGCCCCCCACCCCCCTCGAGGAGCAGGGCACGGGTCCGGCACCCCCAGACGTGCGGCGTCTCGACATTTCCAGTGCGGGGCTCCCTGAGGTCTGGACCCTTTCCCAGGGATCGATCGAGGATCGTCGATCGATCGAGGATCGTTCGATCGAGGTCTAAACCCTTTCCCAGGGATCGATCGAGGATCGATCTAGACCCTTCCCCTGGGATCGATCGAGGATCGTCGATCGATCGAGGATCGTCGATCGATCGCTTTTGACGTCGCTCGTTTCTGACGGCCCCGAGCCGATTGTCTCGGACGGTCCCAGGGCCAGGCGAGGGCCCCTGCAGGCCGACGACGGCCAGAAGCCTGCCGGCGTGATCGATTCTTTTACGACGCGAGCGTGTGCGGGTGGGCTGTCTCCCCTCCTCCTCCTCCTCTTCCTCCTCCTCCTCCTCCCCCTCCTCCTCCTCCTCCTCCTCCTCCTCCTCCTCCTCCTCCTCCTCCTCCTCCTCCTCCTCCTCCTCCTCCCCCTCCTCCTCCTCCTCCTCCTCCTCCTCCTCCTCCTCCTCCTCCTCCTCCTCCTCCTCCTCCTCCTCCTCCTCCTCCGGCCAGAAGCCTGCCGACGTGATTGATTCTTTTATGACGCGAGCGTGTACCTATGGGCTGCTGCCCCTCCGGCGGCCGCCTGGGACGATGCAGCCACCCTCGACCCGCTCGCGGCGAGGCGCGGTTGCTGGAAGGCACCCCTAGGCTGGACCACCGCCCAGAGCCCACGACGGCGACCGAAGCCTCGAACCTCGAACCCAGGTCGGGGAGATGTAGGACTCGGGTGCGGGGGACTCGGGTTGGCCTGACGGGGGCCGTCGAGGCCCCATCTGAAATTGGACGCGGGCTCCCGCTGCAGACATCCCGCGCGAAAACGGAACCGTCAAAATCCAGGACGCGCTCGTCAACGAAAAAGTCGGCGAACCCGAGTTCCGGCTTACTCGAGTCTTAATTTTTTGTTTTTGTTCTCCAGGGCCTTACGTGCACTGGTGCTTCTCTGAAACAAGCGCCAAGGCAGCAATCAAAGCAGAGGATAAACGATAGGGGCGGAGAGGCAAGCCAGGGGCGAAAGTGACAGGACTAGGCAAAAGAACTACCTCAAACGAGCCCCCGAATATTCATGGCCATGTGAAGACAACCACAATGACTCAACTAAGAGAGCATTGCCTTCCACACCTTCTCAGACCACACTCTGTCCTATCCTCCGCCGCGTGCATCGGCTGAACGCTTCCGAGGCGAGCTGCTGCTGGTGATCTGTCTGATGCGCCAGTTGCCGCTGACACTTCATGTCGTGTTCTTGTGCTTTGTGCTCGTATCTTCTCCTCTCGTCCAGCGCCAGCGAATCCCACTCGGCCAGAATGCTCGGGACTGAGTCTGCCAAACAAAGACTCCCATCGTGTGGGGTGCTCAACTCGCCCAGCTCGCCAAACTCACCGTTCACAGCTTCACGCACTCTGCTCGTGATGTATGGGTCTAACCGCTCTCTGATGAAGAACGTCTTCGCTGAAGCGTGGTGGCCGCGATTGAGTCCGAGAGCAGCGTGTGCAATCTCATTCAGAACCTGCAGGTAGAAAGAAGCTGCGCTCGCAGCGGGGTCTCCAAATGCCATGGGACGAACCAAGAAGCTACTCGGGCCGGCCAGATGGCACGTCTCCACGGTCCCTGAGCCGGAATTGCCACAGAACTTGAGCCAAAATGGCTACGGAAGCTTACTCGAGTCTTAATTGAGTAGGGACGGACCGTCCCGGCATTCCTATTGGCCTACCACGAAATGTTCTTAGAACCCCAAAATGCTCGAAGAGTAAAAGCAATGTTCTTAGAACATAGACCCGATATGTTAAAACAAGACAGCCCCAACCAGAACTGTCCTAGAAACATCCCGTGGAAAAAACACCGGAAAAAGGTTCTCAGAACACTGTTTGGCAGGCCTGTAGGCACGCCAGGACGCTTCGTCACTGCTTGACTTACGTTTCCCCGACTAGGCTCATGTCGGGCCTGTCCCCCTACAGGGGGATTTTCGACGAAAAATTAAGAATACCCCACAAATGCCCCAAAATGGTAAAACAAATGCTCAAAACAACATAGTCCCCTGACGATTTGTGGACTGTTTTGGACTATGCTTGGGGTACTTGTGATTTCTCGTCGACAAACCCTCTGTAGGGGGACATGCCCGACTTAAGACCAGGCCCGCAGCGTTTCCCCTCCGCGCGAGCGCCCAGCCACAGCGCGAGCGGCTCCGCCGCGCGCGCGCCGCGCGCGAGCTCCGCGCCGCTGCCTCGGCGGCACGTGTTAGCGACCCTGGGCAGGGAGCGGCCTCTGGTGCGCGACGTTCGGCTCCTCCTCCTCCTCCTCCGCCTCCTCCTCCTCCTCCTCCTCCCCCTCCTCCTCCTCCGCCTCCTCCTCCTCCTCCTCCTCCTCCTCCTCCTCCTGTTCCTCCTCCTACTCCTCCTCCTCCTCCTCCGCCTTGTCCTCCTCCTCATCCGCGGAGGCCAAACCCGAGTGAACAAGACGCTGCTAGATTCGGCGGTGGACAAACCTCCCTCTAGTAAACCACCCTTCAGCGAGAACGGCCCAGGACCGAAACCGACGGACCTGGACCCGCAGCAATGCCGGCCGCGGCGCCCCCTCGCCAACCAGAAGCGGCCGACTCGCTGATCGACGCGTCAGGGCAGGAGGTCCATCAGCCTCCGATGATTGCACCACGTGCAGTCATCTAGGAACCCGAGAATGCCCGCACCAAAGGTCACTCTGGCGAAAGGTCACTCTCACGTGTATTGAGCAGGGACCGACCGTCCCGGCGTTCCCATAGTCCTGCCACGAATTGTTCTTAGACCCCAGAAAGGTTCCAATGACAAAAACAAAGTTCTTAGAACGTGAACCCGATCTGTTAAAACAAGACGGTCCCAGCCAGAAATGTTATGAGAACATTTTTCGTGGGAGCCGCATAAAGGTTCCTAGAACACTGCTTGGTAGGGCCATCGGCACGCTACAGTCAAACACCCTAATAAGGACGCGCGACTTTGCTCAGGGTACCCCTGCGTCCTTGCTCTTCCTTGCTCTTGCGTCCTCGAGGTTTTCGTCGTCCGCCGCCCCAGAAATCCCAACATCGGCTTCCAAGAGTCTTGCGTCCTTACCGCGCGTCCTGATTTAGGAAGGCACCAACTATACACCAACACCGATCCTGGCCAGGATAACCCTGGGCCCAGGATCGGTGTATATGCCCTGGGCCCAGGGTGATCCTGGGCCAGGATCGGTGTTGGTGTATAGTTGGTGCCCTCCGATGGTTAGGGTTTTTGACTGTGTCGGCACGCCAGGACGCTTCGCCGCTGCTCGATCGGGCGGCCGCGCTGCTGGCGCCACGCGGCCAACGCCAGCAGCGCGCCGCCGGCCAGCAGGGCCGGCAGCCGCGCGATCGGGGCGGCGCGGGGGCACGGCGCGGCGTCCGGGCGCGGCGGGCTCGCGCCGGCGGCGGTGCCGTGCTCCTCCTCCAGAGGAGGAGGGGGAGGAGGAGGAGGAGGAGGGGGAGGAGGAGGAGGAGGAGGAGGGGGGAGGAGGGGGAGGAGGAGGAGGAGGAGGAGGAGGAGGAGGAGAAGGAGGAGGAGGAGAGGATGAGGAGGAGGAGGAGGAGGAGGAGGATGAGGAAGAGGGAGGAGGCGGAGGAGGAGGAGGCGGAGGAGGAGGAGGAGGCGGAGGAGGAGGAGGGAGGAGGCGGAGGAGAGGAGGAGGAGGAGGAGGAGGAGGAGGAGAGGACGGAGGAGGAGCTCCAGATGTGGCCACGAAGCGTATGCGGGGTGTGCCAAAGTGGGGGGGGCGTCACGCGAAGCATGCCGCTGGGGCCACGAAACGTGCGAGGGGTGTGCCAAAGTGGAGGGGGGCGGCATGCGAACCATGCCACTGGAGCCTTCAGTGGAGCTCACCGTGGGACCACAAACTGTATGTAGGTGAGGGGGGTGACGGGAGGAAGGAGGAGCGGGAGGAGGAGGAGGAGAAGGAGGAGGAGGAGGAGGAGGAGGAGGAGGAGGAGGAGGAGGAGGAGATGAGGAGACGCGGGGAGTCTCTTCAAACCGAGGAGCCATCACCACATGATGGCTGGGAAAAATCTCGACGGACTTCTTTTTGTATTGCTATGCGTTTTGTTCGGCCCCTGGGCGTCCTCGCCGGTCCTGGGACCGTCAACATGATAGACTCACGAACCCGGAGGGGGACATAGAACTGCGAAGCATGGAAACGCTTCTAAGACACCACGAACATCCACGAACCAGGTGCTGTGCAGTGCTCTGCTGCGATTGATGGAAATGTGCCACGCAGAGTTGAACTGAATTTTTTTATTGCATTGTGGATGAGGTCGTCCTTGGCGTCAGAACCCTGACCGAACTGATTTGGATCTTAGGCTTGAACTGCCTGGACGCATAGCTCGAGTTGGTTGCAGTCGAACCGCGCGGGGTGCTCGACCAGCTCGAGCTCAAGATCTGATTCAGTTCAGCAGCAGGACGAGCGCCGAACCGACCCTACCCGAAGCGAGACAAAACCGACCAAGACTGGGAAGAGCCGAGTACGCTTCGGCCCACCATCCTGGAACCCCATGGCGTCTCCTGACGAAAGAACCGCACCCCGAGGTTGCAGGGCCCCTGGCAAATAACCGGGGCCGCGATCCTGGCGTAAGTTGCGGTCGGGACTGTGCTGCACTGTGCTGCGCCATGCTGCGTTGAGTTGAGCTTTGCTCTCCTCTGCTGCGCTGCGGAGCAAGCCATCCTTGGCACCCCAGTCCAGTCCGAACTGACATAGATCTTGAGCTCAAGCTGCCTACGCGCACGGCTCGGCCCAAACAGGTTGCAGTCGAGGCATGCGGGACGTTCAGCCAGCTCGAAGTCAAGATCCGATCCAGTTCCGAAGTGGGACGAACCGATTCGGGGGCGAACCCGAACCGCAATGAAACGCACCGACACGACAAGGCCCCCGCTCGACACCTCCCCAAACAACACACAATGAAAGTTTCGCGGGATGCATCCTCAACAGGGATGCTCTGATGCAGGCGAGGCCCTCGCTCGAGATATCCTCGAGAAATCCGCCGACCCTGTCGGCGTGTGTGAGGGGCTTCTCCGTTCGACTCGTCGTCTCCGTCGTCTCCGCTCTCCCCCTCCCAGGGCTCTCCTCCTCAAGCGCGCTATCCAAAGCGAAATTAAACGACGTCGTAGTGGAGTCGAAGGGAAGCCCCTTCCATTTGATCCCTTCCCCGCAGGGGGAGGGGGGGGGGGGCCGGGGCAGATACGACGCCCGCCGGGGCGCACTTTCCTCGAGCGGGCACGCACGGGATGCACTTCCTCCTCCTCCTGGTCCTCCTCCTCCTCCTTTTCCTCCTCCTCCTCCTCCTCCTGCTCCTCTCCTCCTCCTCCTCCTCCTCCTCCTCCTCCTCCTCCTCCTCCTCCTCCTCCTCCCGCAGAGGCGTCCCGGGAGCGGGCCCCAAGTCAAAATATAGGGCGCATTTTCCTCGAGCGGGCACGCCCGAGATGCACTTCTTCCTCTTCCGGGAGCACGTCCCAAGTCAGAATATCACACTCCCGGGGCGCACTTTCTTTGAGCGGGCACACAAAGGATGCACTTCCTCCTCCTTATCCTCCTCCTCCTCCTCCTCATCCTCCTCCTCCTCCTGCTCCTCCTCCTTCTCCTCCTCCTCCTCCTCCTCCTCCTCATCCTCCGCTTCCTCCCCCCACTCCTAGCCCTTTCGATCAGGGTCGGCGGCACCAGCCGTCAGGCCTCTCCAATCTTGAACAATAAACGTTTCTCTGGAGACATCCTGAACAACCCCTCGTGTTAGACATACGCTTAGGCAACCTGGACACGTGAAACAAACGTTTCGCTTGAGACATACTCAACAACTCCTCATGTTAGACACCTGCCTGGGCGACCAGGACACGTGAAAACAAGCGTTTCGCTCGAGACATCCCCAACACATCTTCATGTTAGACGCCCGTCTGGGCGACCTGACCACTTGAGAATAAGCACTTCGCTCGAGACATATTCCAGACATTCTGAAGAACGCGCGTTTCGAGGGAGACATCCTCAACACATCCTTATGTTAGACATCAGCCTGGGCAACCTGACACGTGAAAACAAGCGTTTCGCTCGAGACATCCTCAGCACATCCTTATGTTAGACATCTGCCTGGGCGACCTGAGGCATTTCATCGAAAAAAACGTTTCGCTCAAGACATCCTCGAGGATTCTTCGCGCCGGACGCGCTATCCTCGTGCTGGCAAGAACAACTTTCTCACTTTCTGTAACACTTTTGGGCCTCCAGACCCTGCTAATTGTAAAGGGTTCTGCGCAAACCGCCCCGCACTTTGTTTTGTAATGGAAGCGGGGGCCTGTGGATCCCGTCATTTATCGAGCGTCAGACATGGGGGGTGTGCGGTCCTGCAGCGGGCACGCACGAAACGTATTTTTCCCAACCAGAGCTTGCACTTAGGGGTTCTTGCTTTTGTTCTAAGGAACTTGGTCGTGTCTTCGGTCTAGCGGCTACATGGCCCCGCCGACGCCTTGTCGCCGCCCGTTGTCTGGGCCGCGTCTTCGGTCTGGCGGCTATGTGGCCGCCGTCGCCGCCCTACATACATTGCATAACATAAAATGCACAGCATATACTGCACAACATTATTTCCCCCACATATATCGCGCACCACGTAGATCGCACAACCGATGTTGACCAACAGTGGTTGCATCACATAGACTTACCCACATATATTGCACGACCTATTGCACAGCATCTACTGTATACCATAAA